TATATACTGTAAACTTAAACTTTCTATGAACCTGGTGTATCAACACATTTAAAACTGGAAGTTTGCAGTTCACCTCTTTCTCCACAGTGACTTTAATAGACGGGACTAAAGCGTTAAGTCTTGGTAAAAATGTATCAAGAGCCATATCATTTGGCCGAAGACATAGGATGTCATCCACATATCTGAGGAGGATGTCCTAGCAAGTACATTCCCAAAGCTCATCTGAGTGAAGACGTCCTATGGGAATGTACTTGCTTGGACATCCTCCTCTTTTCTGCAATTTTGCAAGCTCCTGATGTTGATTGCAACACGAAAGGCCTAGAGCTATCATTCTACTCCCCCATGGTTGCTTTGCACACACAACACACACACCACCAAACACACACAAGCACAAGCACAAACACAGCACAAAAAACACACACACACACAACACACACACAACACACACACAACAAACACAACACACCACACACACACAACACACAACACACACACACACACACACACAGCGACAGCGACAGTATGAAAACGACATAGCATCGAAAGTCAAATCTGACCCGAAACTGCTGTATAGCCACATTAGGAGGAAGACAACAGTCAAGGACCAGGTGATAAGGCTGAGGAAAGAAGGTGGAGAACTCACAAGAAACGATCAAGAGGTATGTGAGGAGCTCAACACGAGATTTAAGGAAGTATTTACAGTAGAGACAGGGAGGACTCTGGGGGGACAGACCAGATGGGGACACCAGCAAGGAATACACCAACAAGTGTTGGACGACATACATGCAGATGAGGAGGCGGTGAAGAAACTGCTAAGGGACATCGATAACCTCAAAGGCAATGGGACCGGACAACATCTCCCCGTGGGTCCTTAGAGAGGGAGCAGATATGTGCGTGCCACTTACCACAATCTTCAACACGTCCCTGGAAACTGGGCAACTATCTGAGGTATGGAAGACGGCAAATGTAGTTCCCATTTTTAAAAAAAGGAGACAAAAAAGAGGCACTAACTATAGACCTGTGTCATTGACGTGTATAGTATCCAAAAATTATGGAGAAGATTATCAGGAGGAGAGTGGTGGAGCACCTGGAACGGACAAGAGTATAAATGCCAACCAGCACGGATTCACGGAAGGCAAATCCTGTGTCACAAACCTTCTGGAGTTTTATGATAAAATAACAGAAGTAAGACACGAGAGAGAGGGGTGGGTTGATTGCATCTTCTTGGACTGCAGAAGGCCTTTGACACAGTTCCTCACAAGAGATTAGTGCAGAAGCTAGAGCATCAAGCGCATATAACAGGAAGGGCACTGCAATGGATCAGAGAATACCTGACAGGGAGGCAACAACGAGTCATGGTACGTAATGATGTATCACAGTGGGCACCTGTGACGAGCGGGGTCCCAAAGGGGTCGGTCTAGGACCAGTGCTATTTTTGGTATATGTGAACGACATGATGGAAGGGTTAGACTCAGAAGTGTCCCTGTTTGGCAGATGATGTGAAGTTAATGAGGAAAATTAAAATCTGATGAGGACCAGGCAGGACTTCAAAGAGACCTGGACAGACTGGACACCTGGTCCAGCAAATGGCTTCTCGAATTTAATCCTGCCAAATGCAAAGTCATGAAGATAGGGGAAGGGCACAGAAGACCACAGACAGAGTATAGGCTAGGTGGCCAAAGACTGCCAACCTCACTCAAGGAGAAAGATCTTGGGGTGAGTATAACACCGAGCATGTCTCCGGAAGCACACATCAATCAGATAACTGCTGCAGCATATGGGCGCCTGGCAAACCTGAGAACAGCATTCCGATACCTTAGTAAGGAATCGTTCAAGACACTGTACAACCCTGTATGTCAGGCCCATACTGGAGTATGCAGCACCTGTTTGGAACCCGCACTTGATAAAAACACGTCAAGAAACTAGAGAAAGTACAAAGGTTTGCCACAAGGTTAGTTCCAGAGCTAAGGGAAATGTCCTATGAAGAAAGATTAGGGGAAATCGGTCTGACGACACTGGAGGACAGGAGGGTCAGGGGAGACATGATAACGACATATAAAATACTGCGTGGAATAGACAAGGTGGACAAAAACAGGATGTTCCAGGGAGGGGACACAGAAATGAGCCACAATTGGTATAGTTGAAGATACAAATGATGTCCAGAGAGATATTGAAAGTATTTTTCAGTCATAGAGTTGTTAAAGGTCGTGGAATACCTAGAAAATACGTAGTGAGGCAGAACCATACACATTATTAAGACGAGGTTTGATAAAGTTCATGGAGGGGGAGTGAGAAGGTCCAGTAGCAACGGTGAAGAGGCGGGCCAGGAGCTAAACTCAGGCCCTGCAACCACAAATAGGCGAGTACAAATAGGTGAAGTACACACCACAACACACACCACACACCACACACATGTAATGTATATATATATATAATAATTAATATTATATATTTTCAACAATTTATATATATATATATATTTATATTAATATTTATATTATATATATATATAATATAATATATATATATATAGACAACCACTGTGAAAGATAGTTGAATTTCAATTGCTTCCATGACTTCTCACATTATCAAGAATCTATAAAAAACTAAACATCAATGTAGTGCACAAAAGGGCCAGACTACACTCCCATCATCAACACAATAAAGCAAACCTCACAACAACGCCAGAGACTACCAGTTTGTGAAACATCACCTATTACTCTAACCAAGAATTAAGATTTATTACTTGTCTATGTATCATTAAATTCTCCCAAACTTTTAATTTAATGAATTAATTTATAACAACCAAAGAAATATTCATGTTATTTTTCAAAACTGCATTTTTATGAAACGTTCAATTATATTCGTCGACTTGGACTTGCTTAATACAACTTTCTCAGTCTTTTGAAAATCAATTAGACGGCTAAAATCTCTCTCATTAATAAATAGAGCATTAGAATTTTGTCCATTTGTAATGCTGTATTTATGTCGTTTTAAATCTTATTTCGAATTTTTACCAGTTTGAACCGTAATAAACTTTATCACAATTTTACAAGGTATTATAGACACATCCATCCAGCATTTTGGGGGGATTCTTTACAAAAATTTTTACTGTATCATGATTTTTAAAACAAACTTTGATATAAAAGTCTTAAAAGAGAAGACATTATCAAGCAAGTTTTCATGGTAAGGGAGGAACAACGTATTTTGTTGATAAGGTTGATTGTCCAATTATAGATTGTAAAAGCATTTCTAGCAATTTTAAAAGATTTATCAATACATTTCTGGGTATGTTTAGATCATTAGCTATTTCATAAATTTTGGATATTTCTTCATCTATGAATCTTGGACTACAATAGTAAAGCTGTCAAAAAGCATTGTATTGGGAGAAGACAGTTTCTCTTTTGAGTGAAGAATAATAGTGTACATAGGAATGTTGTTTGTAGGTTTCTTGTATTTTGATAAAATTTGGGAGTATTTTAATGATGTGAAAAGTATAAATACTAATTCTTTGATTGGAGTATTGAGATGTGTTTCTACAAATTTGGGATGTCTCAGTGCGGTGTGAGGTGTTGCTTTGTTGTGGGATGTGATGGTGAGGTGTTGCTTGTTGTGGGATGTGATGCTGAGGTGTTGCTTTGTTGTGGGATGTGATGGTGAGGTGTTGCTTTGTTGTGGGATGTGATGGTAAGGTGTTGCTTTGTTGTGGGATGTGGTGGGTGAGTGTTTGTTTGTGTGGATGTGATGGTGAGGTGTTGCTTTGTTGTGGGTTGTGATGGTATGGTGTTGCTTTGGTTGTGGATGTGATGGTGAGGTGTTGATTTGATTTGGTTGGGTGTGATGGTGAGGTGTTGCTTTGTTGTGGTGTGATGGGTGATGTGTGAGGTGTTGTTGGTTGTGGGATGTGTGAGTGTGTTGCTTTGTTGTGGGATGTGATGGTGAGGTGTTGCTTTGTTGTGGGATGTGATGGTGAGGTGTTGCTTTGTTGTGGGATGTGATGGCGAGGTGTAGCTCGACCCTTTTATGCTTGCTTGTGATGTAGGTTTTTGTAGAGATGTACTGATAATGTGAGAGTCACTGAAAGCGCTTGGAATTCTTTCTTTGGAGTGGTTGTTTTGCTATTTGATCACCTGTTTACTATGATTTATTATCACATTTATATATCTATATGTATATATTAATTCCTTAATAATGAAATATAAATATATTAATTTATACTTATAATGATATATATATATTTATATATATAAGTATATATATATATTATATATATATATATATATATATATATAATATATATATATATATATATATATATATATAATATATATTATATATAATATATATATAATATATAAACTATGTTTGTTGCACGTTGTAGTTTGTCACATATACTGTTGTGTATTTACACGTGTATTGTTGTGTTAATTTGTTAAACTTTTCGTTTACTTGTTAGTAATTTACATTTATAAATTTACATATTTCAGACTCCCACTTGAGACAGTGTTGCCAGTCCTCACACACTCAATATTTGAAGCTTGTTTTACATAGTGACACTGATGACAGTTTTTCTTGTCATGATAGGATAAGAATCTTTCACTTAAGACAATGTTGCCAGCTTACCTTATGGCACAGTGTTACCAGTCTCCCATGTACCTCACTTTCATGACACTCATAATTGACAGTATTGCCAGTCTGACTCACACTGTTGCTAGGTGTCCTGACTCCAGTGTTACCAGCTAAGTTCATTAGTGATCAAGAATTTCCTTATTATTCTTGTCTTTTTTTTCTGTCCAGTGTTTTGCAGAATGACAATGTTACAGTGTTGCCAGTAAATTTATACCTCATTGTTGCCAACTTTCGTTCATTCCTCATTGTTGCCAACCTCCCCATTCTAGTTTTATCAGGATTCCCCATAACATTGTTGCCAACCTCCCCCATTCCAGAGTGTTGATATGTTCCTCAATGCCACGATGTTACCAACCTTCCCCATTCCACAGTGTTGCCAGGCTTCCCATAGTCCAGTGTTGCCAGACTAGCACCTGGCACAAGCCAGCCACAAGGACTGACTGAGCATGAACTTTGTCCTCGCCAGGTACCTTCCCTCACCCCCACCTGAGGAAGCACAACCAGTTCCCGCCCGCAACGCCAGTCTTCTCAGGTAAGTCTCCTTCCTTGGCTTTCCTTCCTTCTGTCCTCTTTCCTTGTGTATCCTTCCTTGTGTCCTCCTTGTGACTCCTTCCTTGTGTCTCCTTCCTTGTGTCTCCTTCCTTGTGTCTCCTTCTTGTGTCTCCTTCTTTGTGTCTCCTTCCTTGTGGCTCCTTCCTTGTGTCTCCTCACGCGTGTCACTTAAACTCTTCAAGTTGCTTCTTGTCATTCCTTCACTCGTATCACTTACACTCCTCAGGCAGCATTTTCCTTGTAAACAGCTAAGCCTGGTTTCTCTTTCCTCCTGTACAGAGATGCTCACAGAAGGAGGTCTGGCTAAGCTGCTCATACTGCTGTTGACTCCTGTTAGTCTTTCAGTCGTACATATCAATCAGTATATATATGTTATTCATAAATAACCCGCACATAGGAGAATGAAACTTTTGAGGACGTTTCTGTTCTGTTTCCTTCGAGTTTCTGTGTGACTAGTTAGTGGTCAAAGTCGGACCGAAACGTAGTTATAAATTTCATTCTCGTATGTGCGAGTTGCCTGTGTATTGTTCCAGTCACGATATTGTACCATTTTATTCAATACATGATATCTTTATTTATTTACCTGACAGTCATGTGTCACAGCGAGTCAGTTCCACCAATAACATATAAAATATTTTTTTACAATTAGCCGACATAACCGGAGATAATTGTTGAAGTTAGGGTGGGTCCCTTTTGGAGCTTTACCAGTTGCTGACTTAGAGAACATGTTAGAAGCCAGCAGTTAGGTTTAAGTTGGTCCAAACATCAGGAAAGGGAAGGAGAGGAAACTGGCGATTCCTAGGTAAAGGTACTGTTGTTTAGTGTTAATTCTTAATTAAACTCCGATCTTTTATTATTCCAGAGATATACTCCTTGTCTGTCAGTTTGAGTTTACCGCCTATAATTCTAATACTAAGTGCTATATTACGGTGCTCCGTGGCCTGGTGGCTAAAGCTCTCGCTTCACATGGCGAGTGTCCGTGTTCGATTCCCGGCTAGGGTAGAAATATTGGGCGTGTTTCTTTACACCGGTTGTCTATGTTCTTCTCCATCAGTAAAATGGGTACCTGAGTGTTAGTTGACTGGTGTGAGTCGCATCCTGGGACAGAATTGACCTAATTTGCCCGAAATGCTCAGCATAACAAGCGACTTTCTATGTAGTAATAAGTCATTGATGTCAGTTGTGGTCTGTATACCTTGTACATGTACTTGTAGTAAATTAAGGTATTATTACATTAACTACCTCTTGTGTTCACTCATGTGAACACAAGAGATACGTGTAGCACTCAGGTGTGGAAGTGAACACGAGATACGTGTAGCACTCAGGTGTGGAAGTGAACACGAGATACGTGTAGCACTCAGGTGTGGAAGTGAACACGAGATACGTGTAGCACTCAGGTGTGGAAGTGTCGCCTAATGACAAGTGCATCAACATTCTCGATGGAAGGAGCACATTTCGACGGCACATTATTATGTAAAGTACCGTTCAACAGACCCAGCTTATGAATAAGACAGTTGCAATAACTAAATATATATCTTCATTTATGAAAAAAAATACAGAGATTATATAATGGAGACAGTGAAAAAATGGAGAGGTAATTTTGAGGTGCTCGGTCACTCAGCCATGATAGATGATGTTCAGTCTCTTATCCTTGATCGATAGTGTTCAGTCTCTTAACCTGGATAAAACTAAAGCAGATGTATGACGATGGAGACCATACTTAAGTCGGAGGAGAGAGCATTAGTTAAAGATATCGTCACAAGTGGGCAAGGCCCATTACAACTGTTTTTAACCATTGCTTTCCTACACCATTGCTAAATTTGAATTGATCCAACTTGAATCCTTCGTTTCAAGTTATTTCTTCGTTAGATATCCACAGTCCCTTATTTATCTCTATACCTCTGCTGGTATGCGATAAAGATAATGAATTCAGAAACAACTCATTTTTCTCAAGAAATGTCAAAGTATTTTATCCACATTGACATATTACCCAAATATGTCACTAACTTTGCCTATTGTAAATAACTCATAAACTCTTAAACTTATTTAAATCCAACTAGACCTTCCTATAAATATAAAGTAATATAGATAATTCAAACCCCCATATAAGCTACATTCTAATATTTTTGTGACTTAATTCATGTCCTCATAAATAACACAATACGAGTGTAACCAGATATAAAAATGTAAATATATCACTACTAGGCCTGGTCACTACTTAGGCCTGGTCACAGACCGGGCCGCGGGGGCGTTGACCCCCGGAACTCTCTCCAGGTAAACTCCAGGTAAACTACTGTTACTTAGTTATCAGAATTTTGGTGACAGTCCCTGAACCCATTATACGCCTCTGTAATCTTTTGACTTCCTCCCACAAGGTGGATGTGGGGTGCATATAGATATTAAACTATTTATACTTATCCTCCACTTGTATATTTCAATATATCTCCCCTTCATTCGCCATCTTTCAAGAGTGAATTTACTGGACTTTCACTTTATGGTCGTACGAAAGACTCCTTCTGCAATGGTTTAATTTTATCATCCTCTCTATGTTCTCAATGAATTTATATCATATATGAAATATGGAGACCAGAACTACACCTCATAATCTAAATGAGGCTTTACTGATGTGTAAAGCAGTGAAATACTCTTTGGACCTCTGGTGCTTATATTTCTTGATATAACTCTAAGCAATCTTTTAGCCATATTACGGACGCTTAGGCATTTCTATCATGAATTGAGATTTTTGACTGTCATAACCCCCCTCCCCCCACAAGTTTTTTTTTCACATTCAGTGATCACGTTCTGTATTATATAGGCTATAATTAATAGTTATTTTCATTCCTGAGGATTTGAATTTTGCACTTTTCCACATTGAACTTCATCTACCATTTTTCCGACCACAACATTAACCTGTATAAATCATTCTAAAGTTTAATGGTATCTTCTCTGAATTTGTCAGCCTATTTTATGTTCAGTGAATTTACTCGTGTCGCTTTTTACTCCCTCACTGAGGTAATTAATGTAGATTGTGAACAACAAGGGACCCAACATTGATCCTTATGGAACGCCACTTGTGATTGGTCTCCATTCTGATTTAACTCCACTTATAAAAACTTTTTTTCTGCTACCTATTTGTCAGACATACACTGATCCATAAAGAACCATTCCTCCTATACCATATGCTGCCGTTTTCTCTAGCAACCTTCTGTGTAGGACTATAAAAAAAATCTTACTGATATCAAAGTAAATGACGTTGTATTCTTTATCATGCTCTACTTCAAATGTTATATTAAAGAGTCACCAAACTTTTTTTGAGATTCACTCTTCAAATTATCGTCAATAAGGTGGCTTCTAATTATACCCACTACTATTGATTTTAATATTTTCCCACTATTGAGTTCAGGATGAAGGTGCGATAATTCGATGGTAGGGATTTATCTGCAGTTTTGTAGATGGGAATCACATTGGCCATCTTCCACAGATCAGTTACAATACCCGTTTCCTGTGATATATTGATTGGACTAGTCAGTGGCTTACTGAGTTCCTTCGTTCTCCTTAAGAACCCCTAAAAACAGTTCGTGGGGAGCCGGGCGCTTATTTTCCTTTAATCAAGCTATTTAGTAACTATGCCTCTAGTGACTGTAATATTACATAATTTGTTTTCCCTCAGGATCTTCAAAATTACCAGGTACAGGAGGGGCCCCGCTTAGGTTCTGGGCTATTGCTATAAAGCAAAAATCACTGTAAAGTGAATCACTTTCAAATACATATAAAAACCTGATATGTTTACACTATCATATATTAAGTGAGCAATATAGCTAGGCCTAAAAAATGCATATACAGTACACACATTACTTGCCTTAAAATATTTTTATCCTTAGTGTATAGTGAGCGGCGAATATATTGTAAACTGAATTGTTTGCAATCCTAATGGCGCTAAAGCTAACCTATGACACTGAGCTTGACTCTATCATCATTACTGATTCTATGTCATCATTGAAGGCTCTTGACTCATATAATGACTCCAACAACATGCTCATTGGGGAAGCCAGGTATAGATACTCAAAAATTAGGGACAAAGGAATTAATGTACAATTGCTATGGATCACATCACACATTGGATTACTCCTTCATGATAAAGTTGATATGTTAGCCAAGAAGAGTATCGAGAAGGAGAATGTAGAATATAACTTTGGTATAACTGTGTCTAGCATTAGGAATAATATTAGGAGAGAAGTAAATAATGAAAATGATTGTTATAGGAATGCAGTTAGAAGCCTGAGTAGATCTATAACCCACTATGATAACATGAACGTAGATAAGTATCTTTATGGAGTAACTTGCAATGTGAACAGACTGACTGATGTTGTAGTGGCCAGGCTTAGGCTTGGTTACAAGTACTTCTGGCAGTTTGGGAGACACACAGATGATGATCAAACTAAATGTAAATTATGTGATCAGCATATGTCCTCCTTAACATATGTGCTTAATGTCCACTTATTGAGGAATACAGAGACAGACAGTATAATAACCTATGTGACATGTCAAGATATCTTATTAATGAAAATAAAATACCAGATATACTAAGCAAATTTCCTAAATTTGCTTGTAACAGATAAGTGAACTATAGATATGTAGACATAAATCCATATGTATTCCTGTTAACCCTTTGGGGCCTAGTTCCTAGGCCTTTTGTGTATCCATATGCTCTCGCGCTACCGTCCACAGGATGGATATGGGGTGCACAATAAACTAGCCACTTCGGTGGCAAAATCTAAAAAAATCTAAATCGAATATATTTATTGTAGGAAGTCTGAATAAATGAAGAATGGATATAATTGAAAACCGCCGCATTAGCAAAACGCTGTAAAGCGGGACACCCTCCTGTACTGGAATCTCATCTGCGTCTTCATGTGTCAAGACTGAGAGGAAATAAGTGTTAAAAAATTAATATATTTCTTTTTCATTATCTGTGCCTTG